AAAAAAAAAAAAAGGCCATACAACCCTGGGAGCACTGACTTCAACAAGTTCAACAAATATTCAAGCCACATTTAATAACTTTATAAAACTAGTATCAAAGTAAAGAATATATAGTCAAAATACAGAAATCAAGTTGAGTGAGAGAAAACAGCCTGATGAGATCAAACAGAAGTTAAACAGAACAGATTAATATAAACAAATTAGCTGGAAGGTTGCTTTGCTTCATGAAGCACTATTTCAGCAACTCCTTTCCTCAAAAGCCAACTTAGAAGGAAAAAAAAAAAGATATGCATCACTTTAAAATCCTGTTGTATGTTTACTGTGATTGTTTGTAGAAACAGCATAACCCCAATTTGCATCCCATGTTAATTTATTATTTAATAAACGCAGTGGAATTTTTTTTTTGTAAGAAAATGGAAGTTCAGAATGAAGCGTCTGCATTCAGCTTTCCATTACACATACATTTATCATTCTGTTGGCTAGGAATTCTTTTATTTGTGAACTGCAAATTATCAGGATTTGCTTACACTTCTATACCTTTTGTTTGTCATAGATACTTCACTTCTAAAAGTGTCTGGTGTAGCACTCACTAATTACAGAATTATAAAAGGTAGAATAAGGCTTTGCCCGCTCAGAAATTCGCATTTTTGGTAAAGGTAACAATATATCAGCATCACTAACATCTTAATAATAGGCATACATTTAATTTTATACCACCATCCTTCCAAAGAAAAAAAGAAAGACTAAAAGATGTGTGCAACTGGTTTTAGCTTAGTATAAAATTTTCAAATCAGAACTCATTCAGCTACAATAAACACTATGAATTACGTATAAACATAGATGGAAAACAATGTGCCAGGCTTTAAATGAAAAACAAATTAGTTTAGCAGATGATGATCCTGTAGTGCTAATGCACACCATCCTGCAAGCTCAGAAAAAAAAAAAAAAAAAAAAAAAAGGGGGGAAAAAAAAGGAAAAAAAAAAAAAAAAAAAAAAGTAAGAAAACAACCCCCAAATAAACCAGTTTTGATGCAGGTTTGGCATCAACTGCACATTATAGTCTTAGCCTCAGTATGCTCATTCTATGGTTGAGAAATTTAAAATACTAGATTTTTCCATGTCAGGTAGCAGGTAGCTGGTGCATACATTTCAGACAACAGAACTATGATTTCTTTAATTTGAGATGGGATCAATAATGTATTGTTAATATGTCCAAAGTGTGCAACAATAAGGCAGATTTCTTATTACACCGCCCCTTAAAATACCCATTGTTTGATGAACCAAACAAGGTGCTTTAAACCAGCAGAGTAATAGGAGACAAGCAAGTGCCAGAATGAAGAAAAACTGCTAGAATGGGAACTGCCCTTTCTTTCACAAGGAGAAATAAAGAACTTTTGTATCTGGTATTTGAAAGGTTTTTAACAGCTGATATTCAATATCAGCTGATTCCTGAAGTGTTGGCAAGATACCAGGTTTCTGGTACTGGCCATGTCTAATGTTATTTAAATATTCACATCATGCAATAAGCAGTTTCACACTGCAATGTAATGGAAAATACTTCCTAAACTGAATTGGAACTGAGACCCAAAGCAGAACCAGTAAATAAATATCTCGCATATATGTCAAACTATATTCTCCAAACAAAACCTTACATCTTATCAAAGAAGTCAGAAAGTACTAACAAAAATTATATGCTTTCTACTATAATACTGTTAAATTTCCATGGCTGAGAATGTCCCATTAATTTTTTTTCTGCCTTTTAAAATTAGTTGACAAAGTAGAAATTCAAACACAGAAATAAAATGCATATATATGAGAGCACTGGCTCAGTGAGATATCAAATATACAGCATTCTAGTGTCAAAAGTACAGGCAGAAATGTCCAAGATTCCTTGGTGAAAAAGGGGCATTTGAGGAGTAAAAATTCTACTTAACAATCACTCACATTTTAACAGTGCATTAATTATAACAAAAGCTGGATGATAAGTGAGCAACAGAATCATAATGTTCAGTGTTCATAGCAGAACTTTATCCTCTGCTCATTTAAATGAGGTTGGAAACATATACTCATGTAGGTGAAACTTTAAGTAGCTATGTTTGTTTTTTCAATTTTTCAGGATTCTTGCAAGAGGCAAAACTTGTGACATGGAATTGAGCTGGATGTCAGTACAAGGTGGTGCTCAGAGAAGTCTTCCTCTCGATGCTGTGCCTCTGGCTTATCAAAGGATGATTAGTCCTACAATCTTGTTTGATCTATTCTTTTGCCTCTAGGAAAAGGGTTTCTTGAGGATACAGTTTTACCTCCAGTAATGATTTATTTGGATCCAGCTGGGTCACCTGTAAATAAATGAACACAAAGATAAGTGTAAGTAGACTTTTGAATTGTTTATGTTCACAGTGCATACTTTTACAGGGAAGATTTTTGAGCCCCTCCATCAGTGATGACTGAAGCAGTGGGTATTATTTTCCAGGATGCAGATTAAGAAATATATATTGTGCTTTCTGTTGTTGTAGTTACAAGTATTATTTTGTATTAACAATGAACAGAATAATAAAAAAACAGAACCCGTGACATTAATTCCAAGAAGATCTGGTTCTCTACCATAAACTTATGAACTAATCTGTTTTTTGTCAAAATTAAGAACTTTTGGAAGGTTTACTAGAACACATGAGTTAAGATGAAAAATAAAACTGCACTCCTAGATAGACATCCCAAAATTTCAGTCCAACTGATGGTGCAAGCAGCATAGCCAACCCAACAGGATCTCTCCGTTGAAAAGGGAAACTTTTCCTACTCCCTTTTCTGCTCCAAGTCCTGTGGTGGAACACCCAGTTTCTACTCACTTCAATTCTTTCCAGACACCTCAATCACCCCAAACCACGAGAAAACTGTTTAATTGTGTGGGTATTACACAATATATTTACTTATATAGACAAATGAATGACAACAAGTGTCCCAGTGTCCTGACATTCAAGTTTGCAAACCAATGCTGTGACATCCTTCAGAATATTGCAAAGCTTCATGTAGAAAGATGAAACATTTTCTGAAATATTTCCCTTCCATTTTTAAACTTATTTTCCCTGGTAATTCTGTTTTTGGTTATTTTGCCGTGTGAGCACATCAGTTACCAGAAGTCTGCTTGTGAATAATAGTTTATTATTCTTATGCCATAGGTATAAATGCAGATGCATGCCAATAAGCATTTTTTCCAAAGATAAATTTATTTCATCTATGATCACAACATGCCACTGCTTTTGGAAAAGTTTTCAGAAAACATTAAGGGTCCAGCAGATGAAATGTTATAAATTAATAAGAATTGTTAATGTAATTTTCTTAAAAGCCTAATTTACTAATCCTGTGTAGTATTGCTTCTCATTGTCTCCCCCAAATAAATCAGGCAAACTTGAAATATATTTGCATTTCTATTGTATTATTCAATAATGAGGGAAAAATTACTATTTAAACAAATATTCAAGGCTTATCACTTCCTAAGACCATCAAAATCAGAGCAATTTCATCTGATGGCAATTTCATGATTTTTTTTTAATGAAATAATTTAAAAACCCAAACCAAACCCAAAAACCAAACAGATGCATTATTTTTATTCCCAAAGCAGGAACATATTTTCTTAAACTGCATGTACCGTGGTGAGCTACTGCTAAATGTCTGAAGAGAAAAATAATTTACAAAAACCAGACTCAATTTTAGATTCCTATTATCTACAGTCCAATTATGCATTCCTGCACAGATGCTGCCTGAATTATTGAAAGGTTATTATCTACGAAAGCAAACTGGTTATGTAAAAAACAGCCAAAGTAGTGCATTTAAGTTTGTGATTACAGAAGTATGCTAATTAAGTATCTTGTAGCATTTTTTAATGTTTTGGTATTCTGCTACAGTCTGTTACTGAGCAGGGAGTGAGCTAAAGAGGGGTTTGTGCAATTCAAGCTTCTGAGGCATTGGGCACCTGAGAGAAGCAATTTTCCTTCTTTTCAGTACAAACCTGTATTAATTTGGACATCTCTATTTTCAAATCCTGAAACCATTTTGTTGGGGCTTTTCATTTGCTATTTTTTTTTTATTTTGCAAGAAAAGGGAGGGAAGTCATAACATGTCTCTTGCACTTGGGAAAAAAAAAAAATCCCAAAAGTATGCCTGGGCATTGAACACAACCTTCCAGGCTGTGACCACATGGAAACATGTTACTCACTTGGGCATAATTCAAGATACATGCCCTAGTCTAAGGTTGGCAAACTTGAAGTGCCATAAATAACAACAACACATGATGTTCCTTCCTCAGTGAGAAGGGTCCTAGGAGCCTTCTGGAGTACCTGCAGCACAAGGACTGTGCAGCTTTTCACCGTAATTTCAGCATGCTGCTTAATTCACTGAGGGACAGCAGAGTTTGCAAATGTTTACACCATTACCCAATTAACTAACAATATGGCTCCTACATCTGTCAACAAACAAAGCTGTTGTTGCTTTGTTTTAGCTCCTTGGCATTTTCTGTTCATATGGGTCGCCATTGTACTTAATTATCACACCACAACCCTTCTGCAGCTTCTACTTTGTTATTTGTGGCTTGTAAATATGTTGTTTACTATGAAGAATAGAAGCCTTATTAGTGAACACACCTCCTAGCAAAAGAAATGGTTTCTCTTGTAAATATATGAAGTTAAAGACCTAAGATGCATTCTAACTTACAGTATTTTAAAACAGAATTAGAAACCAAAGAATGATCTATAACAGAGATCAAAGGAAAGAGCTGTAGCCTGCAAAGATGTGTTCAGTGTAGTGTTCTACTGAATCTCATTCATTTATATTTATCTCATTCACTTATAGTTATGTGCATTATTTCATAATGAAAAGTATAGAATGCCTTTAGATGTGTATCCGTGTGTCTTGTTTCATTACCATTAGAATAAATTCTGGAGCCCAGAGAGCTGACACCCTTTGGCTCTGATGCCATTTCATGATGCTCTTTCCAAAACAGCTCTGCACATAAGTTACACTGTCCCAAAACCCTACACCTTTATGTGTTGAAGATTTATTCTATGTTGTTAGCAATTACACAGGAAGCCATCAAAGCATGCTGATGTCCATTTTAATATGTATCTTCAAGTCCTACAATAACTGACTTTCTAAAAGTCAAAAGCACAGACTCTAAGGAGTCACCTCATGCATCACACTGTGAAACCAGCTGTATTTTTCAAATCTTTTGTGAGTTTGCTAATGCCCAATACTTTATATTATAATGGAACATGAACTAAAACCCCTTGAAAAGAGACTGTAAAGTGCTCCAGGTTTATCCAGTGAGAAGGGTGGCAGAGGAGGGACTCAATGTCCAGAAACAGAGAGTGTAACACAAGTGGCAGAAAGATTACTGACATTCAAGCCCCCAGAACCCTGTACAATACCTGCAGGTGCATTCAGGCTGTCCCAAAGCCCTGAACACAGAGTGCCCCAGGAGATTTTATCTTCAGGCAAATGACTTTCTGTGCAAACCTGAACACTCCCCTTGCTCCAGGGAACACTCCTTCCAGAAACATGGCCAGAGGTGCTACAGGGCTTTAGTTCTGCCACGTTAGATTTTGCCATTGAGCTGCTTTCACTGAAATAGGTTCAAGCTGATAAACAAAACTTTTATCCCAACTATGGATTCCATTTTATGGGACCTTAGGTTTTCGTGCACTGGAGCTATGGCTTCATCTTTTAAAGAGCTTTGTTACACAACCAATGTCAGTTTGGTGCCAGGGAGGTTATCATTTAAGTATTTGTTTAAGTGAATTCTGTGGTGATTATTCCAACTAAGCACTAGCTAGTTGAAGTACTTCTGTGCCACTTAGAAGTTCAAATTATTTATGACTCTGCAAGGCACAAGGTAGTGATGTTAAGTCTTATACTCCTGTAAGAATGCAGTAGCTGCTTACACTTAATTCTGAGTAAATTAATTGGGTTTTTAGATCAACCAAAAATGAAAACTAATGTTAGCTTAAACAGCATTTTAATACATTTTTATAGCAAAGTCTTTTTCCTTCTAGAATAACATTTAAGTTATTTCTGTCTTCACCTTTGCTGACCTATCTGTTCCATTACATGCTCACATCCTGAGCAGCTGTACTTTTACCACTTACAAGGTGTGGTTCCTTACCCTCCCTAACTCTGCGGAGAAAAGATAAACACAAAAAAAAAAATGGCTTAATGCCCAGGAAGGTAATTTAAAAATAAAGAATCAAATACACAATTATTATGACACTTACACAAGCAGTAAATATCACACCCTTCACCTTTCTCTCCACCCTAGGACAAGGATCTGATTCCCCAGCAGCACAGCCTCTATACCAGTTACACACGCATGAATACATTTAATGAATCTAACGGACAAAGAGTTCTTTTACTCTCTTTTCTAATCCTCCTAAAGTATAAATGCAATAGAATTTACTTAAAGGCACACCTGGTAAAGTACCAGATCTGTTTAAAAAACTATATTTTCAGAGTGACACACAAACAAATACAGTGAATCCTTTCTACCTATTGAAATATCTCTGGGTTACACAGATAATACGCTCAACTTGAGCAACAAACAAAAGTAGAGTTACTTTATAGAAATATATGCAATTAGATTGGGCTTAGTTGAATAAACTTGGAGATAATTTACATCTGAATTGAAGAAAGCCATCACAAACAAGGAAAAATATGTCATAGTAAAAGACATGTAGCCTCAATCCAAATATGAAGCTTAAATCCTATACACCACACTGACTTATTTTTCTCAAGATGTTTTCTAAAAAGATATTTTAGATTAAGCATATTTAAAAACACATTTACTAAACAAAGTAGCAGCTGTTAATAAACCAGAAAATTGTGATGCTGTATCCTCTACTTTGAGCATGGTTCCCATTTTTCCCTTGGAAAGCCATGCAGTGCTCCAAGATGCAGCCAACCTTGACACAGAGTCTTAAGTTTTCATTGCTTTAACATAATTTGTATTAAAAAAAAAAAAAAAAGCTGCATAGATTTTAATCAGTGAAGGCTGATTATCCTCTCTTGCACTACTTGACTTACTTGACAGTAAATTAAGACAGCAACTATGTTCTCCCCTGTTTTCTAAAACACTAAACGCAATGACAGGGTGGTGCAAAGATGAGCCCAAACTCACTGTTGCTATATACATAGAGTGGCACCTAGACTATCTGGTGCTTTTCAAAAGTTCCAAATGAAAATCCAATTTTTCATCTGGAATAAATACCTCATGTTTGCAAAGAAAAAAACCACAAACAAACAAACAAACAACCTCCCGAAAAAGGCCAAACAAACCCTTAAAAAGCAAAAGCCT